ACAACTTGGATTTGTGTTGTTGTGTATTCATACTTTGTTCATCCTCAATCTAGCAAAGTAAGTATGTAAAACAGAGCTTAAAATTAATTGACATATAGATTAAGCACAATTTGGCCTCAACTGAATATTGATGAAAATCACAAGATCACCATGAAAATCAATAGATTAAATCAATGCATTGATACAAATCCACAAAAAATGAAAACCATGCAACTAAAACTGTAGCCTGTAGTGTGAGTACAAGACAAATGTTAATGTGTTTTTTTTTTTGCTTAATTTCTTTATGAATATGATATAAAACATTTCCATATATGTCCTGTAAATTGATGCAATATTGCCACTAAAATTGAAAATGTACCTTTTGTTTCTTCTGCATGTATATGAAACTCTGTACCCTTATCACTAAGTACACCAACTTGACCCATGTGTACTGGTAATTTGTTAGATCCTAGAAAACCTGTAAAAACAAAAACAAATTAAATACAATTAGATCCACTAAAAGATAAAGATAGCTTGCTAGGCAAGGTATATTACGCACATTGGCAGCTTTGATTTTAAATAAAAATATTTGACTACAGTAATGCCTCGTTTGATACCTATCGTGATTACCGTGTTCACAGGGTCAATGTTGTTAATTTCCTTTCGATAGTGGGTTTAATCTCGTATTTACTACTATAGAAGTCGTGAAAATGGAAAAAAAATATCGACACCCATTTTCACGACTTCTCCGACCTTCACCTCGACCCCGTATAAAATGGCCACAACTTTCATTTTGGTCAAGTTAATTTTTTATTTAAAGTCTTCTGACAATTTTTTTTTACTGTCGTCATGACATAAATACCACTAAATGTTAATAAACAGCTTGGAAATGGAATATAAAATATATCAATGCTGCTAACATAATTTTGAAGTCGTAAATATTGTCCGAACAGTCTCCATTTTAGCGCACGATTTTTGGACTTCCAAAAAGTTGTAAACACTATTTTCACGAGAGGTATCGAACCGGGCATTACAATCACCAGTATGAAATATTCAACTGTCAGACATACACTTCTTTTGAACTTTTTGGGGCGATACTGAATAATATTACTAAGTTTCATCAAAATCTGTCAAGAATTGGGTCTTCTAGGGTGTATGCGAGCAAAATGGACGCCTCCCATTTCATGTGGGCGATTAAAAATATATGATGAAAATTTAGGAGGATAGCTCGCAAGACCACTGGCTTCTTAAGTTTATTAGAATATGTGGCTGAAAGACAATCATCACCAGTATGCAATATTCAACATTTAGTCATACACTTCTTTCAAACTTC